AACTATACGACGGGGGAGGGGGTATAAAGCCCCACCCGCTGTACATGATATATATTATATATATTTATATAATAGTTAGGCTCAGCAGACAGACCGTAGTGCAAAGATAAAGTGTCACATGATTATCTACTAAATAGTGAATTCAGCATCAACTTCACCAAGATGAAGTTCATATCTTCCTAAGACACGTGTTACTTTATGTCCCTACTAGAATCCGAGCTCAAATGACTCAAACCAACAAAATGTCCAAGCAAAAAATCATGTGCACCATGAGGCTGGGTTATAAGGGTAATTTACAAATAAAATACCCCATTATAACAAAGGATCTTTATGTATTTATTATATATTACCCCCTCAGGCTGATTTTGGAAAAGGACATTAACCGTTGTTTGGTGTTTTTCCCTTATTTATCTAAAACAAATGACATGATAAATTACTTGTGTTTAGGTCTGTAAGACTTGTGTTTCTGCCCCTGCCATTGCTGCACAAGGTTGCAACATTGTAGATAAATTCAACCACCGACACCTGTCTGCTCTCACATTCTTCTATTCTGCAAATTTGGGGTGGGACACAATAAATAAAGCTTCGCCAGTTTGTTTGTTTTATTGCACAGTCAAGACATAACAATAACGGCATCACGCCGCTCAAGTAGCTTTTGCGAACATCGCTCAAAACATTTGGAGTTGGGAACTGCTTTCTGTAGAAGCTGCTGCATCCCGTCCTCAGAGTAAATTGCCAGAAGCGCCGACACTTCCTCATCATTCCACCGCTCCGGTGTTGTAGTACGTGTGGTCATAACTGCTTTAAAGTACAAAAAAACTGCTCGCTCAGGTGTGGATGTGGTTTTGTAGCGAGGAAAAAAATGGCTGCCTAACAAAAAAAATTCAGAGTCTAACGGGGCGTGGTTTGCAATTCGCCCAGCCAATAGAAATAGAATAGAAATTGGCACTCTTTTATCACCAGGTTCGTACCACCTCTCTAGCAGGGACTGAAAATGGCCAAAAGANATAAGGGTAATTTACAAATAAAATACCCCATTATAACAATGGACTTTATCTTTATGTATTTATTATATATTACCCCCTCAGGCTGATTTTGGCAAAGGAGTCCTTTGCCAAAATCAGCCTGAGGGGGTAATATATAATAAATACATAAAGATAAAGTCCATTGTTATAATGGGGTATTTTATTTGTAAATTACCCTTATGTTTAGGATTCTAGTAGGGACATAAAGTAACACGTATCTTAGGAAGATATGAACTTCATCTTGGTGAAGTTGATGCTGAATTTACTATTTAGTAGATAATCATGTGACACTTTATCTTTGCACTACGGTCTGTCTGCTGAGCCTACCTATTATATATATATATCTATATATATATATATATATATATATATATCATGTACAGCGGGTGGGCTTTATACCCCCTCCCCCGTGTAGTTCTTCTTCTCTCGTTTGTTTTTGTACTCGTTGTGAAGTGGTTTTGCGGCCTGCCAGTAAACCCAGAGAAGAAGAAGACGAAGTGACGTCAGCGTAATCTTGCCTCAGGGAAAGTACTGCGGTGTGAATGCGATTGGCACTAGCCCCCTGGCGGATTCAGTGCCATGGTACTTTAGTGCCGGCACTAAAGTACGGCAAGTCCTGCGGTGTGAAAGTGGCTATTGTGTAATGGTCTTATACAAAAAAAACGGTAGGAGTTGTCTTCGAGTGTGGGAAAAAGTCATAATGATTGTTATACTATTGATTGGTTCTGTAAGGCGTGGCTGTGGCCGTCAATACCAGAAAATAAAGAGAACGTTTTCGACATTGAAGGCTCGAGACTGATCTGTGATTTTGAATAGCGGTGAACATTACAATATGAACAGGCTCTTACTTGGCAGCATAGACAGGTCTTTTCTGTGTTCGAGTTGTACTCGCTACAGGGTGTACTTTGAGGGTTTGTGACTCTGCAGACCGTTTACATGCATAAAAACCTTCATAACACACAAGGGGACGGGTAATAACCTGAAAAGCATGACATGGGACTTTTAAATCATGTTTGACTTAAAAACTATGATGTGTGATTGCTGAAATGGTAATCCACTCCCCCCCCTTGTTTAGGAAAACCACTCTTTATCAACAAAATCCTTGTTTCTCGGGGAAATATTACCCTTTTCTTTTTTTGTCTTGTTCATTACTTTTGTATAGAATTTAATGGCTTAAATTAAATAATTACAAAATGCCAGTTTCAAGGAACCCTTCCTGCCTTGTTGCACTTCTCATCAAATAAAATGGAGAGAATTCATTTTAAATTTCATCTAGATTTTTAACAATTTGTTATTTTTTTCTTTAAACCCTTTTAAGTATACTATGCATTATGAAATGTACCTGTGTTTAACTATTTTCTTTATTTTTTACTGATTGTACTATAATGTCCCGGCCCTCACCTGTTCTGTGTAAATACATTATTTTTCACATCTTTGTTTATCAATTATCACCACACCTGCCATCACACAGTGTTCCTCTTTAATAATCTTTCCCCTCGACTCCATCCCAGGTTGCCAAGGTGGGTCTCCCCCCACAGGTCAGCGATGTGTGGGAGCGACTGGGAAAGCAGGAGCACTGTCGTTACACATGGGACACCAAAGCCAATAGCAACAAGGCGCTTCCTTACGTCAGTCGCTGCCGCTTCGACCGTGTCTACATCCGCCCAGCAACCAAGGAGGGCGTCCCCCGCCTGGCCCCCGACCACATGGCCCTGTTGGGTCTGGAGAAACTGGACTGTGGACGCTTCACTAGTGATCACTGGGGAATCTACTGTAGCTTCATCGCTGCGTAAAAATGCACACCAGAAAATCCTGAAACGTGTCCTTTAAAGTTTAATATGAGCTCTTAAGTTGAGGCCTTGTCAGTACTGGCATTAGAAAACAAACATTTCTCTGTGATTGAAGATCTGACCTCCTCTGAATGTTGGTTACCTGTATATTTTATATCCTGATTTAGTCAGTTTTATCTTCAAAATGTTCTCTTGTTGGAGTCTCTGACAAAGCCTTTTTTTTTTGTATAATTGCTAAATGAATCTGGGAAAATACTAATAAATGTTCAAATATCAAAGTTTGCATCACTGTGTTTATGTAGTTTTTATATCGACCACTAGAGAGCACTGCAGAGTTGAAATGTGGTTCCACGTTAGTGTTAACATAAAAACAAATCAAAATATTTGGATAGAGATTTATCTATTTGAACTTGATGTTAACCACCAAATCATTGTAACTTTAGCTATAGTTCCATAAAACTTGAACTACAAATTACTCACAATTAAAGTAAACATAAAGAAATACACTTGCAGCTGATGGTCCTAACCAGTAAGGCTTTATGATTGCTTCCTCATTTTACATTATTAATACATGTGGCATGTAAAGTGTCTGCTGTGAAAAAAGCCTATTAGAATGATATGCTGCTCTTTCTAATGATTTAATACCACCCTAATCTACAGATCTACATTATGACCTCTGTTCCACCCCAGATATATCACGGTCTCTGTCGCCACACTGTCTGTGTCCCTCAGCTGCCTGTAACGCACCCTTCAGATCTCAGAGTGTGTTTTCATGTTTGCACGGCGAGCAGAAAACCATTTTTACTTCTCGGTCACACAGAGTGAGGATCAGCTGACCTCAGGAGAGGACACAGATGTGACTCTTCCCCGGGAGCAGGCGTCACCATATCAGGCCTCCCTCCCCCTGATTAGCAAGGACATGTGAGCGACGTCTGTCTAGCTTTAATGACATCTCCTAAAGCCTAAAACTTTAGGAATAATGTTTGTCGTCTTGTGCCTCTGTTGCTAATAGCATTGTGTTTTCGGGTTGTCAGTCTGCCCCATTCTCGGTAACGCCGTATCTAATCAGTTCATCAGTCACAGTGAACGTTTGTGCCATATGGCACAAACGTTCACTGTGACTGGTGAACTGATTAGATTGTAGGGGTCAAAGGTTGCTGTTGCTGTAACTTCATAAAACACGTTATTTGGCCAACACTCAAGAATCCATACGACCTCATATTCAAATGTTATTGCAGTCAAACTTAGGTAATTTAACATCCTGTGCCACAATGTTAAACCTTCATTTTGTTAAAATAACAATTAATTAAAAATAAATCTTGAATTAAAAGATGATGTTTTAAAATCTGTTATTTTGTTCCACTAAAAGTCTAAAGCCCAATGAAATTCAGTTTACATTCACATTCAACAAACAATGCCAGAAAATTATTATTTATTAGAAGCTATCAGGAACGTTTTTGAGTATTTCTTAATACATGGTCCTTGGTCTTCTAGAGGTGCACTATTTCTCCTGTTTCTGTACTGAGCAGTTTCCCACTTCAGCCGAGAGGAGTGGAGCAGCAGCAGGTCATTGGTGCTACAGATGGAGGCAACATCTGTCGGGGCCAAGTAACTGGTCATGTGATCCAACGTCCTGCCTTGAGCAGCATCCCTCTGCTGCCAGAGGCCCATCAACATTTCCCTCCTCCAACAAATATAAAATCATCCATACGTTTCCCTCTGGAAAGCTGTGTGGATGTATTCCAAGATCATTTCCCTCACTCTGTTTTTATATTTTATAATTTCACCGAGCTTTTATTTTCAACAGCCTCACAGATTTATTTTTGGAGCTCTCCTCCAAACACGTAGCCCTCAGTGAGAACTCAGGCTTTCATTTGAGGCCCGTCAAAATGAATGTTCTTGGTTTGTGTGGACGTTTGTGTGTGCTGCCGGAGAGGCTCTGGGACGAGGTTTGTCCTTTGAAGCAGGACTGGATGATGATGGATCGGACACAGATCTGATCCGAACCCGGAAGAGATCGGCTGGTCTTGTGAAGATCAGCAGAGAAACTGTGCTGCAGCTCCTGGTAAAATAGGGGGGGCAGAATGCAAAAGGGGGGTCTGGTCTGCTGGGTGATTGATGGACCGTGGCTGTGCTCTCTTTGGGTTTTTGTTTTTGTTGTATCTGGGGTGTGAGCAGATGGCTGTGGGCAACGTTCCCACCATATATGTGTGAGCAGGATCTGTCTGTGTACACACACACACACACACACACACACACACACACACACACACACACACACACACACACACACACACACACACACACACACACACACACACACACACACCTCCCCCTGTACAGATAGCTTGTCACAGGCAGGGCATGGCAAGGGCAAGCGTAAGTGGTGCTCCACTCTACATCACCACCGCTACATCCATCACTGATTCCCTTCAAAATCGCTGTGACAAACGGCCCCAGCAGCCAGCGTTATTTCAGACCGTACAGTGCTGCTGCTTCTGGTACATATTTGAGCACTGACAGCTATTCAGATTTTTGCAAGATAAGGGGAAACCTCCTGAGAGAACATTTTGTCTTTCAAAGGGTTGAGGACGAAGTAATACTGAGGACCACCACTGGAGGTGAATAAGGTACAATGTTACCTTATATATAAGTGGCGGCTGGTGGAAAATATTTTAGGTGGGGCTGTGGAAATGGTGACCAAACAATACTAGGGGGGTCCGGGGGGATGCTCCCCCGGTAAAACATTTGGAGAAAAGACCCCTTAAATTATGACTTCTGGTGATGTTAGAGGGGAGGACAAATTGAGGCTTAAAAATATGAGAAGACTGATCAATACCTCCATAATCTTCAGTGTGGTTAGCTATGAATCTTCCAAAACTTCCAAACACCTTGTCCTGGACATAGTTTCTACAGTATAAACTGTGCAACAGTACAGTAGGCCCACACAAACTGCAGAACACCGGGGCTTTGGGAACACTCAAAATTACTTAAAATGATTTAATTCTCATTTAACCTGTGAACTCCCGTTTTTTTTTCTCACGAAATTGTGTCTCAGGGCTTCTTAAAATGTAATAAACTATTCATGTGTCCTACTCATTTAACGGGAAGAAACTCAGCTAACTGATGATATGAACCATGTTTACCGAAACAAAACACAAGTCTCACAAGAAGCGTCTAAATGAGCCCTGAGCGAAAAAATGCTAACGCACTCTAGGTATAAATCAATCAATATACTTATCGGATGCACAAACAAGTTTAGCTAATAGGCTGAGATTCCACAGATTCTAGAAATAAAAGTATCATCACTGAGCGATCAGAACTCGCGACAGGGGAAGCAAATACAGACATCACACGACGTACCTTAAGGTAGCAAAACACGGAGATATGCTCACCTTTTGCTGTTATTCTGATCAAAAATGAGAAAAACGCGGATGAAGGTTAATCCATAGGTTAATGCAATGTGTCTGCCACTTTGAAAACAATATTAATAATCCATAATTCAATTTTTATGTCAAAAACGGAGTTTTCATATTAGCTGCTAATGATAGCTTCCAGATTGTATGACAGCTTCCTGTTTTGTCTCCTCAGATACGAGTCCAAACAACTCACAGACTGCACCGGGCGCTGACGTAGGCGCCCTGTGACCATCAGATTTGACGACGCTGATTGGATGAAATTATGTTTCGGCGGCATAGTTTAAAGATAGCAACAGTTGGCTTCTGATGCACTTGCTGCACTCTCGTCTGGGCGCTATGCACGGGCAAGGCCAGGCAGGAAACATGTGACTTATCAGTAACTTTAGACATCGTAACACAATTTTAAACGAGATTTTATTGTAGATTATACATTTTACTGATACCAATTATATAATATTTACCTTGTTTATTAAAAATAAAAATAAAAAATATGTTTTTTAAATATATATATTTTTTATTTTTAATGTGGGGAGAGCGGGGGCGGCGCCCCTAGCGCCCCTATGGGCCGGCCGCCATTAACCTTCAACCTCCCCAGTTGATTACGTACACAAAGATATAAAATATCTATAAATAGGTTTCTGAAAATGTGTTTTAATATGCAAAGAGGCAGTACCTCATTAATGATGTACTAATTAACATACATTTCAAGAACAGATATCTGAACATTGGGTCAAGCCAGGTGCAACATTTGTTCCACACAAGACCTAGTGCTTTTTTAAATTTTCTACAACATTTTTGGCCCATCTGTGGGAATTCTGTGTTGAACGAGAAAATTCATACAAATATTTTGAAATAAAAAATGTTGCCATGTTTTTATGAATAAAATATTATATAAATAGTGCTAAGAATGATGTATGAACAAACCCTTTTTAAATCCATCAGAATAGTCATGTTTGTCATATGGTGTTGATGTAGTGTAGATTTCTGTGAGGAAAAGACTACATTTTGTTTAATAATTCCAAACAATTTGAAAGAATAAACAGAGTAAAACATGTTAGATTTCATCATAATTGTTGCCATGTTGATAAGTTGCATTAGGACAATATTTGTTTGTATTAGAAGTCCTTAATGTTTATTTTTAAATAATCATTCATGACATTATCTAATGCTTACGTTTGGTTAGAAGAGGGAAAAACCTGCAGATAAAAATAAGACAACATAAGTCAAATTAACACGTGCATATGCATTATGGGTGTTTTCTTTCACTAGTCTTAAAGAAGACATGTAAGACTTGCACAATCTCTCAATATAGTGCCTCGAGCGAAGATGTGGGGTGCTGTTATGATGAGGGGGAAAGTACGCGATGTAATGGTTGAGATATAAGTAACACATTTCTGTGAAAACATCTGTCAAGAATTCAGAGTTTCCCACTGATACCAGTCACTTCAGGCTGTTAAAGTCCATCTTAAATAACAAGGTTACAGACAAGAGAGGTTGACTCTGTATTACATAAGTCATCCTGAGATGTAAATTATTAAACAGAGGAGTGGACCACATAAAAACATTAAAGTAATAAAACTGAACCAACATTTTGTAACAAAGTCTGTTTTATTTTCTCTCATAAATAACACTGAACAAGCATTGTACAGCGATAAATATCAATATTTATACACTGTAAAATTCTCTGTATTACAAAATACAGTATATGTGTAATGCACTTGATACAGATGGGAAGTATTGCATTTCATAGCACCGAACGAGACCCTAAACGTGACCTTTGAGTTAATGACATCACACTGTACTCCTCTTAACAGTCCAGTTACATCCCAGGTGCAGGTCTGTGTGGGTGTCTATGAAATATACTTCCCTTAGGAATCAGTTGTTGCATAACTATATCTAAGTTAAGTAGAAACCACCTAAGAGGAACGCCTTCACTGCTCATTTTCCCACAATCTCAAGTTTTCAAAATCTCAATGAACTTGTGGCTGATCAAGTTTCATCGATTAGATTTTTGCATTTAACGTGGTATAACGTTGACTTCATTGACTCACATTTTGTTTGGAGGGTGGGGTCACTGCTAGAACTCAAAATAATTTCTATGCCGTTAAACAAAATGAATGGTGACTAGATTTGATAAAATCTTGCAGCCATAAAATTAACTAATCTCTCTCTACCTAACCGTTCATTTCAAGTAAGAAACTGGAAAACGTGTCTAAATTGGATTTAGAAGATTTTAATAACGAGAGGTCTGATCTCTGAACATCAATGAGGGATCGGTATGTTTCGGGACTCGAGTTTTTCTGTGTCTCTTTCACTCAAGTGGCAGCAGAAATATCTGTCGGAGGCAGCGGGAGGCAACAGGCAGGTTGAACACTGAAACAATAACCTGTAATATTTATATTCAGCCTTACAGACGAACATGGCTCGACTAACAACTCTAAAGCAGTTTTTGTTCCCTCATGTTCACGAGTCAGTCTTCAACATCCGTAGTAAACAGCTCTTCTCAACACTTGGCAACAGATCTCATGATTTCTATCACATTGTTTTTGCTTTCAAACATTATTGCTAAAATCAGACAGCAAGGGGCCCTTTCAATCAACACTTAGCATGACAATAACCCTACAGCTTTGAAGAGGACTGACAGCATGGAATGTGTAGGGCGAACATTAAATCTGGCTTTGAAGAAAGAAAAACAAACTTTAGTACAAAAAATGAAAAACTAAAATGTGTGCCAGCATTACAAATACACAGAGATGAAGATTTCATATAGGAGCCCTTATTATTCCTCAACCAGACTTTGTCTGAGGAGCAGCATCACAATAATTCATGTAAAAATAAAAAACATTATCACATTCATCACTTAGTGTCCGTGTTGTGTTTGATTGTCGGCTTCTGAGACACATCAGCTTCAACTTTTGAGCAACCAAACCCCTTCCAACTGTATCTGTATGAAAATAATGTACATCTGTTTAGTGGACTGTGCAAGAGAACCTACAGAATGAGAGCTTTGTCGTATTATAAAGAACCGGTCCATAATTAACATTAAGTAATAAAATACTGTCCGTCAGAAGTCACATATAGCCTCAGTGTCATGATAAGCTTTACCTAATGATGGCACATACAAAATAACAGCTTCTCTATCTCATCTAGCTTACTCACATAGAATCTAAGTAAAACCTTAAATAAACTCAGCTCTGTGTTATGTTGATGCTTAGAGCATTTCTGATTAGTTTGGTTTCAGCACTGAAATACCACATTCATGCCATTTAAATCACCGCTTGTTGATGTATTGCACAGAATTGTCAACTATCTTAAACACAAATTATATAATAATCCTAATGGATAATCTCACAGCCAAAGATGTATAACGAAAAAACAAATGTAAAACCTAATTGAAAATGAATATAAACATTAACAGGAAAGCTTGACATCTCGGTCCGGGCGCAGTGTAGCAGAACGTGTGTCTGTGCTACCGAGGAGCTGATGATCACTTCAACCTTCCTGGCAGAAACATTCCTGAGTTTCGTGCTGTGAAATCTGCTCTGCTCCCCAGCTGCTCTTATCAAAAAACTGCAGAAGCGCCAAAACCATGTCCGGGCAGGCAAGGCGGATTCAGCTAATGTGGTAGGAAGCCAGCAGAAATCACAAAGTAGTTCTCGCTGAGAGCTCCCCCCTCTCTCCGTAGTCCAAAAATAAGACACTTAAAAAAGGAACTGGACTAAAAAGCCAAATTTTCTTTTACAAAAGTAATAAGGCCCTTATTATTTGTACCGTGAATTAGCACTGGATGCAGATCATAAATAGCTTGAGTCAAATAAAAACGGATGAAGTGAAAGGTGCATAGGTTGGCATTTCTTTGACACTGAAATGGAAATTCCTTGGTTCTCTAGAAAGCTCCAGATTGCACATTCATGGTGTTAGCAGGCAGTTAATGCCTAGAGTTATTGTTTGTACGGACTCACTCATTTAGCCACCTCTTAAATCTCTAAATATCATCATTTCATTGACAACTCCTATAACAAAGTAAACTAAGTTAATAGGTTGAGAAGTGCCTTAAAAAAAAGAAAGAAAAAAAACCTCCAACAAGATGTGTAGCATCTTCCATCAGCACCGTTTCTTAAAGGTTGCGTGGTCTACACATCTAAAACATCGTACCGACTAAGGATGTACACTTTCAGGGTTTTTCTCCATAGTGTTGCTAGAAGAAGATTTTGGAAATTATAAACCCCCCGAAAACATTTCAGACACCGTCTAAACATAGAGGGGCTCTGAAGTCTTACAATTCAGCGACTGAGTGGTAGGTCACACCACGTTGATGCAGTTTCCGCTGCCGGCCGCCGCTCTCTTGCTGCAGTAGGTGAAGCCGCTGTGATTGGTGGACGAGCCGTTCATGTGCGACGATTTCAGCTCCATCTGGCAGGCGGCGATGGCGGCGTTGAGCTCTACCTGCGCCCGGTGCACCACGTAGAACATCAGGCCGATGCTGATGACGATCTGCAGAGGAAAACACGGAGGAAAGTCAGGGTTTTTGTTTGACACACACATAACATCTGTACATGACAATACATCAGACTCAATAGCTCCGACTCATTTTCACAAAAATTGCAGGCGAAAGTTGAAAGGGTGTCATAAAGTAATGCAGTTGTTGTTTTCCATGAACTGGTTTGGAGCAAATGATTGGTTAACAGGGTAGTTTCTTTCATGTATGCTAGTGATGCTAGTAAAGCCAACGCATGACTGTAATCCACCAGTTAACGGGAAAAGTAGACGGTTCAAACACAATTCCTTGGTATGAGGTCTCTGGGAATTTGTTTCAAGTGGATAAGTTACATTTTTGTATTCATGTCAGCAAGTTTTTGCTTTCTCAAACAACTGATAAAAAATGTCTGCGCAGTAGAGAAAGTGATATGGAGTTTTGTCATTTGGGTATAGCTCTTCTTAGAAAATACTTCGAAATGCACTTAAAATACGTGATTGAAACAAGGTTTGTGTGATTATTCATTAGACAATTATACCTTTTCTTGACAAGAGTTAGCAATAGTAGACATCTTAACACCGGAGAAACGTGAAGCCTAAGACGGTAAGAACAGTCAGAGATAATCTGGTTTCCCACCACCAGTGTTCAAGCTTCCTCCTGATTAAGGCCAGTTGTCGATTAGGAGCAACAGCTTTCAGTTCTGCAGGAGAACCTGACGCCTACTTGATGTTAAACTGACCCTTGGCCTTGACCTCTGCTAATGTGTCAAAACTGCACCTACCCATAATGCCGTAGCACCGAGGATATAAAGAAGCTCAACAGCTGTTGGAGGCGTGGTGAGAGACTCAAATGACCTTTGACTGAGCTGAACAGAAGTAGGGGCATTTTTAGCATTACTACACAAGGCTTGGAATTAGCACTCTAGACGGTTATGTAACTGAAGACTTAGGGGAGGGGGAAATGTTGAGGCTCGTTTGTCCTAGGATACGGTTTGACATGCTGAGTAAGATGTCTGTTTTAAATACAAGGAAGGGGGAAAAAAGCACCAAGCAAACATGTGCCTCAATGATGTGGGTCAAACCAGGACAAGTTTAAAAACAGACTTTTAAAAACCAGACTTGTTGAGATTTGTATCTTCAATTCAAAAAAGAAGAGAAAAATGCCTTTTCCATGCTTCCTCGGCGAGAGAAGATTCAAAATAAAAAAAATTAAAGCAAATGGTGGCCATGGAGACGCTCATAAAAAAGGTACCTTTCAGGTTTACTGTGCTTATTCCTCTTGTGAAGGGCTCATTGAATGGGTAGAATATGATATCAATATCAAAAAATATCAAAAAATGTATTTCTCCCTAAAAAATGACCCAAAGCACATGGCAGGGGTTTGTTCAAAATCTAAATAACTTTAGTCAATTATACATTTAAATTGATCAACATGGTTTGACTGCTATAGGTTGTAAGGGTGTGTAAGACCACGTGTAACAGCAAAACTATTTCAAAAACATCTAACTGTATATGCAAGTTAGGAATATATTACACAAGTTGTTTAACACTGAGAGGTATGTGCGAACGGTAATGTTTGTAAATGTAAAGATAAACAATGTCAAGATAAACAGAGAGAGAGTTTGATAAATGCTTCCTTTGTGACCGGCAGCTGACCTGCAGGCTGAAGACGAAGTACCCGCTGACGCTCTGCTCAGCGATCACGTCCTCCATGGTGCGGAGCGTGGTGCCCAGGTACGAGTTGAGAAGCTGAGTGGGCAACAGACCCACAGAGGAGGCCACCAGGTAATTTGGCAAGGACACGTCTGTGATCTAAAGAAAAGAGGAACATGTTATAAAGACCTTCTAATAAGAGAACAAAGCACAGTGGAACACATCTGCTGTAGTACTACAATGCCGTTGTTCAACAGCCCCTATTGTGCTGAATTAAGACTAGGGTTAAGGTCTAATCGTTGTAGTGGTCCTACGCGTTCCATTGTTAAAACTGTTTATATTTCAAATAAATCAAATAACACAAGATACAAATATTTAAGAACCTAAACTTATAATTCAAAGAGCGAGGCTAAATACCTCACTCAACATTTCAGTTTGCCAACAAAGGTTCGGACATTTAAAGTTAAGTAAAAACTGGAACCAGGTTAAAGACAGGGTCAGTAATACTTTGACAAGAATATGTGTAATATCCGATGAGAAATAAACAAAATGTTTACCACTATAAATGTCATTTTGGAGAGTAGCTGCAAAAATTGTAATTTTGAGCCTCAAAAATAGTCTTCATGATCCCTGTGCCATCTTGTAAATGTACTTTGAACATATCACACGTGCAGCTCAGTGTCTCATTTCATATCGCAGTACCTCCACCAAGAAATAAACATGGGTCTCCTTTGCCATCACCCTTGATCAAATGATGACATCAGCAGCTAAGTGAGGATGCGACCTTGGCACTGTGCACCGTGGCTGATAGCAGCGTTTTCCTGAAAGACACTGCCTGGTTCATACTACAAGGAGGTACAATTAAGTGTTGCCTCCTTTTGATACATCCTAAACCCACTCATCCTACACACTGATAAGAGTCTGGCTTACACTTTATAGGAAAAGTGCGTTATGAAAACCTGGCCAATCCAGACCATATTATCAAGTTTTTATCCTGACTTGGTAGTTGTGCAGTTTTTTCTCCACATAATCATGTAAAAGGCTTTTCTCCTTGAAAGACAAGCAGTGATGTGTCCACACCATTTGTCAACATGTTCAAAAGGCCTTCAGCTGATCTCTGAGATATGACATGTGAGCCTGTGAGAGCAGGAGAAGAATGCACTCTCTTTCTCTCAGCTATCATCCCTGAGTTGTAAAGCAACTGTCCTCAGAAGTCTCTTCCCACCGAGGCATGTAGCGTATGCAGCCGTCTTATACGACCAGGGAAGGGCTGGTCGGTATTTTTATAACTGCGCAGAGAATTCCCACTGAACCTCCCACTCGCTTCTGCAAGCCCGTGTATCAAGATAAATTGCAAATTCAAGTGAAAAAACACCCCATCCTCAGCTTGACCTGATTTATTCAGAACAGCAAAGCAGATCTGAGTTTGTGCTCGTAAACAAAAACAAGAGTAGTGTATCTTGACTGCATAGTAAATGTAGGATTCCTTCTGTAATGCGCTTTTGATTTTTATCTGGACATGCGCAGGGTTTACCCTTTAAAGTGTAGGATGAGGAACAGTGTGTAAGTACTGGCTGCACAAACACATCTGCCCTGTAGTTAGGGTCCTGTAAATCACACGAGGAAATTACTAATTCATCGGTTCATGAGCCCTTTATGACAACAGGATGGACCCAGGCCAGCGAGCAGGGATTTCATGTAATAAAATGCACACGCCGACTTGAATATGCCCGCTTTGTGCACAAAGGATTCTCAATTTTTTTCCTTAGCCATCCCAATGTTTTGCTAACTACTGCATTCTTGGTGTGGTTTTAGGTTACCCGCTATAATGTAGCACCGTCCACTTCAGCAGAAAGAGGCAGAGGGCACGGTGAAATGCAGCCTCATCCAAAGAAAATGCTTACCAAGGGCAGAGCAGACAACACATAACTCCACAGTGGGGTCCATAAAGTACCTCACCACGGGCAGCTTGACCTTTTATTGTGGAGAATAAGATAATAAAGATTCATTATCAGCCAGGCTTCATAATGAACGACAAGGTATGATGAATTGCAAGGTATAGAGTTAGGAGAGCTGGGTTTGAACTCCCTGAAGGCAGGAGGCCAAAAGGAAGAGAGGAGGCAGCAGACTATGGGACTCAGCTCATTAGCCTGCTCCTCTGCTCCTGGCAGCAGCAGCAGCTCAACCCCCAGGTGAGAGGCTCTGCTCCGACCTTCAGAGTTCGACTATGAGGTTCGTGCGAGGAGTTGACAACTTCATTTTCTCCAGTCCCACCAACCTTGAATGAAGGTTTACTTCTAATAATGATAATATTTACTCTTGTTTTAGCTCCTGTTTAAGTCTCTACCGACTCCTGAGACTTATAAACGAGCAATGATCTAGACAATGAGAGCGGTGAGAGTACATAGTTGTGTCTGGACAGCTAAACAATGGGCTGAAACTTGGTTTGGAAACTAGATTAATCACGTTGCCCCTTGATATATGGAAATCAAGACGTTATATGTGATTTTAAAGCAATATTAGCCATCCAAATCAACTCAGGCCAAATATTAGGCCAAGATGTAGGGTCAATAATAAAAAGAAAAACTACAATGATTTGATACAATGGCCAAGTATTTTATTGCACTGTTATAGGTAATTCTAAAAGGGTTAAGTTGGTTAACCTGGCCCTTTATGTGTTTGAACCTGTAAAGCTGAAAGCATTCTCAAAAGTCAAAAACAGAGAAGCTGCATTTCCAAATGCAAACAGCTGTCATAAATTGAAACTATCCAAAGGAAATATGACAAATGCAAACTGGCATACAACCAAATATGACCCAGTTCTGAGCAGTTGAGGTTGAGCCATTTGAAAGCCAACGTCCTTTTTCATTAGGTGATTGTTTGCTGGCTTTTGTAGGAAAAAAACAACCCAGAGCAAAAGCAGCATTTCACTGTTCTGTCAATTAGCCAGCCTTTTAAATTTCACCCCAGGAAACTGATTGTGGAGCACCAATAATTCCAGTGACAGTGGCAGCAGCTGGGCAACTCAGTGTAAACAGTCTGTCCCTTTCATCTCATTTTCACCTCTGCAGAATGAAACAGCGAGTTAAAGGCTGTGACAACTGTTAAAGCTAAAGCCATGATCCTTGCACGAGTGACACATCACAACCTTTGGACACAGAGTAATGTAACAACCCAGGAGGCCAAGAGTATGAATCAACAACGAACAGAAGCCGTTTAAGTAAGTCACGCAAAAGACAACCGTGAAAACAGAAGAACTGTATATGTAGTGCTGGACTATGACAGAGGAATCAGTCATCTTTAGCATCACAAAGAGTCTCACGTTCAGCCCGAAGCTTAAACTCAACCCTGAATTTCATTCCCAGCTGTATGTTGAAGACATTCTCTCTCATTTTCAAAAGCACTCACAGGGTCAGGCCCTGACTCATTGCAAATCAATCGCAGTCTTCTAGCATTTATAGCGTCAAAATTGACCAAAGATGGGCGAATAAAGCTCTGCAACATTTGAGATATTTTGAATGAATTGCATATAGTGAGTGTTTATTTTAGGCTGGTTGCGAGTGCGAAATATAGAGCGGTCAAAGGCCAAAGCCAAATACCAAATCTCCTGAGATATGTCCAAGTAAATCAGTATCACAGAACGCTAACTGGTTTTTGCAACATGCAATTACTGTGCTTGTGAATCTCACTTACGTCATCTTATTTCCCTTTTCCTGCCTCAGGCCTGAGCATCAACTCCTGAACGCTCTCAGCTAGAAATGCCTTTAAAAGCTCTTTGGATCCACGCCTGGATATTTGTGCTGCTGCTGGTTTCTGCCTTCAACAATAATTGTATTCTCTCCTCCCCAGATATTTGACCAATAATAAAGTGCAATATTCAAAACAACAGAAACGTTACTAATGCTCTCAAATAGAATCTATGAAATACGATGACATTGAACGCATTTTATCCCCACTTCTTACTGGGATGTTAAATATTTTAAACAGTGCTTTTTGCTTTTGAAATGTGATGTCTAAGTAAAGATGAATTCCAATATAGCCTGAATTAACTGAACTTTTTTACATATTTATTTTTAATGCAAGTTATATCTCTGTATTTATAAAAGTAATGCATTGAATGAGACTCAATTATAAAAGCCTGATTTTTTAAAGCAGAAAATATGTGTTTGCATAGGTATTGATGAAATAGCCAACAAACTGACTCTGAAAACTATCTTAAGATGGAGAATATTTCATCCTAGACGGAGCTTTGTTCGGTCAGAATGTTTGTTTGTGTCTCAATGTACGAAGAAGGCATTTCAAAACTCAACAGGCTACCACTTAAAACACATTCCCTATTTTTAAAACCGGATACCATTTTGCTGTTAGTGCAGCTCCAGGACATTGAAGTTTCAACCTTTTGAAGCCTTTCAGTTTTAATATTTAAAAAATACCATGTGAATATGTTTTTAGAACACAAATGTAACACCACTCAATCGGAAAATGTGGGACTTGTGAAAAGGGCTGCAACTAATGGTTATTTCCGTTATTGATTATTCTGATTAGATTTTTTTCTACATGAATAGATAACGTGTTTGGTCTATTTCTGTAAATATTGACAAATGTCCTTCCTGGTTTTTCAAAGTCCAAGGTGTCTTAATTTGTCTAAAAAAAAAAAAGCAGTTTAATTTGATAGAAAAGTAGCCAATGGATTATATTCTGATGTTTAACCAATCGATTATTCGACTAATGGTTGCAACTTGTGAGAGATATGATATAATCTGGTGCTAGACAGTGATAAGAGCTTTTTAGCAGCAGTATAGCTTGAAATACTCTACAGAGCCAGGCCTGAAAAGCTACATAACATCAAGTTCGCCCGCAGGTCAGGATTCTTCATTAATCATTCAATTACCACTGGCATAAAATTTTTCAGTTTGCATGACCTCCCAGCTGACGTCCTACTACACAGTCACACATCCCTCAAGGCTTTTTTTCATTTGGATGTATCAATGAGTTGACTGAGAAGGGTAATCAGCGAGTATAAATTATTCATGCCATGTATGAAGGTCAAGGGCTTCAGGTTAAACGTGGGAGTGCAGGTGAAAGCAATATCCTGGAACTGCTTAGCGCTATAATGTAGATCACATTGCCTAGACAAATGGCTGAGGATGTATACTTACAGGAAAACAAAGATGTCCATGGTTTTGTCAACATTATCATCATCAGATCATTATTTAATTCGGGAAAAAAGCATTGCTCCAAATATGAAAACCAAAAGTAAGACTTAAAAATGGTATATTGATAGTTCAGTCCTTAGGCTACAATATAATCCATTTAATAGGAATGGTTTTTTCTTCTACAAGAAAAATCCATCTTGATTCTCTGAAGATTTCCCTTATATTTATTTCCTACTTGACTGTAACCTCTTGAATATTAAATGAACAGGTCATCTACTATGTCCAAAATTCATCAGAACTAAAATGATGAAATTCTACATACTCCCGGTCTCTTACTTGACGCTATTTTCTGTGCGGTTGTGATTTCCCTAGTGTGCTAGGTTGGTCCAGCAAAAAAGAAAATGATTTATTTCTAAAAATCTAAAAGGTCACAGGTTTGTTTCTCATGACTGCAAGTAATTGTTGAACCATCCTCTAGGGGTTAATGAGTTTGCCTCTTTGCTGGTGCATTGCTGTGACCTTTCTGCTCAAATCCATATGAGTTTACTATTAATCGATAGGGTTAGATTAGACCATTAAAGGCACCACCTTGTTTCACTGTTTCTGCCATTTTATAGACAGAACAGTTCATCAAGAAAAAAGCAAAGTTAAAGGTCCCCTATTATACTGTTTTTCATTACTTCATTATAGGTCTCAGATATATACAAATCATGTCTCTGAAGTGTTTGGCTCCAAACACCAAACAGATCATGCATTGCAGCATCCCATAATCCCCTCGGTTTCAGCCCCGTTTCAAAAGTGCTGATTCTCTGTCTGTTACTTTAGATGAAAATAAGGAGCCACTCCCCACGCCCCTCTGTGAGATATTTGGTTAAAAATAACTCAATGGTGCTCTAGGAGGATATTCAGGTGATAAGGTGGGGGGGGTTACCTTGGTTGGTGATTGGCTAATGGTCACACAAGACAAAAAACCTTTATGACATCATAAAGTGGCCGAAATCTGATCAGCTAATTTCCAGACAGGTTTTCATATAAATGGATCAGGACAAAAAGTGAGCAAATCTTTTTTTTCCTGAAACCTTCAGAATCTGTTTACACAGAGGGGACACATGTTTGTGTATAACAGACATGAAAAAGTGGACTTTGCATAATGGGTGAACTTTAAGAAATACAAAAATAAAATTGTTTGGTTGGATCTCTGTTAGTAATGCAGTAATTCATACTCACCGAGAAAACTGCATTTTGGAGCCCAAATGGTATTGGGGTGAGTCTTGCTAAGGCCACAACTTTGAGTCCACTTCCTCCCTCCACCACTCGTATGACAGCACTGAGCTGTTCACTGTTCCCAACTTTGTTCAGCACCCAGTCAGTCAATAGTCGTTTGCACACCAGGTGTGCCATGAAAGTACCTATTAAAACTCCCACCATAACAAGTCCCATGCCCAGCACAAAGCCGTAGAGGTAGCCAGCTGCAACATTAAGAACAATATACCCCCATCCACACGGGAAAGACACGATAATCAAACCAACTATAAACAGCAAGGCTCCGACGAGGCTATCCAAGCTCTCCACCCAGAGCAGGAGGTCCTTGAGGTATTGGCGAACCAGTGCAACTGAGGAGAAGCACACAGCAGTCAGGACGCAGGCCAGCAGGGCACTCTTGAAGCAAAAGGTGGTGATACAGCATGGGTGTCTGAACTCTCCACTGTTGCTGAAGGTCGATCCCCCTGAGTCACAGATAACCTCAGGGTCTCCATCTGACTTTCCAATGCTGGCCCCTGTCTCATCGAAGGCGCTGCATATCAGTATGTCAATTTTGTCACAGTCATCTGTGGCAGTCCTCTGCAGCCAGCGGTTCAGCTGAATCTCTGCCTTGCCCACTGCATGCTTGACAAGCTTGGTGAAAAGCTGCACAGTCGTGGACCCTGACATTGACATGTTGGCCCTCAAATAAGCTCTGGGGACCAGCAGCAAGGCTCACACAGCTGTGACGTTTGAGATTTCCAGACAGTCTTTACATCCAGGGCAAGTCCATGTCTAGAGTTATCAATGTGTTGAGCTTCAACAGAGGAAAGGGTCTATAAGCATTTAGCAGTGGTAACCCTTTGCATGCAGTGAGACATACACATGAAATCCGTCACTCTCCTTGGCCATTTGATGAATTTTCCAATTTAACAATGTTTATCTTGGGTACACTAGCTGGGCAACGTGCCAGTCCAGTGATTTAAAAGCGCCAGTTTTGTAGTCTCGGTGTGAAACCCTCGCCATATTCAGAGTTGTTCTCGGCTCAGGACAGCCGAATGAATGGACGGAGGGAGCTGTCAGTTCAGGAAAACTGAGAGTGAAAAAAAACTCTTCTTTAGACTGAGATGAACAGAAGCGAAATATTGCGAGATCATCAACTTTTAAGACTCCACCACCATTGCCGTCCAGCTAACGTTAAGGAGTTAGCATTAATCACAGCACGGCTAACTTACTGCTGGCCGTTAGCTAACTAGCTCACTGCCTGAACAAAGTCCACCGTTGCATCTCAGGGACTAAACCACCGTCGCTGGCCTCCTCATATGCTGCTTCTCTCGGACAACAGAGCGACAAACAAGCCGCAGACACCGGATAAAGAAATACAGTTATCTCTTTCTCTGTTTGCTGGCTGTTGTTGTTTCTCCGGTCGCCTTCCTTCTTCCACAGTGGATAGAAACTGCTGCTGTTGACGCGGTTATAAAGCTTTTCATACCGACCACTGTTTGTGTCCCAGAATGCCAAGTGACCCTCGATGTCCACGTGACCGACCGTTTGACGTTCTCGTCCAATCAGAGCGCTACTGCTGTCATCGCGAGATTTATTTTACGGGGTTCCACGACAAATTGTGTTTGTTTTGGATCAATTATCAATTATGGATGGGGTAGTTTGATGGTGGAGCTTGAGTTTATTGTAACGGCTTTATTTGAGCTTCTTTTGTTTGGTTGTTGAATAAGTTATAATCTATAGGCTGCTCGTAATATTCCTCTAAATGATGTACGTTTAAAGAAGCATACAACAGAATTATTAATTATTTGGATGTAAACTACTCCACCAGAAAGTTGCATCAATATAATTTAGTTCCTTTAACAAATATTAAGGAATTAATCCAAAAGGGACAAAAGTAGAAACACTCCCTCTGTATTTGTTTGGTATAATTGTTATATTGATATACTGAGATAAAAGTGTTAAAGTTACCAGAGGCGTGTCTCAAAATATTGCAATGCTGTTATTCAAGTAATGCGGTTACTGTTGGGGAAAAAATGTCTGCTATTATGGAATACATAAAAGGACAACTCATGTCTTTGGGACTTTGCCTTACTTTTTGGCATAACCCTAATCTATCAGTGCTGCTGTTAGATACTCAAACATATTCAAAATACAATTCATGTGATAGCTCATCACTTTCTCACCAGTAAAAAATTTACTACTTGTATACGTACAATTAAGTATACACACCAGCACATTTGCAAAACAAAAAAACAAATACATCATCATTACATTTTATTAATAATTTCGTCTGTCAGACACTGCTATCATATGCGTTTCCACTAACAACTACCATTATTATTTAGATTAAATTATTATCGATTATCAATAAGGTAGCAGTGGTGGAAGATACTTAGATTGTTTGCTTATGTAGGCTTTAAAAATAACACAACATACAACTTCACTAAAGACACAAATCAGCCTTCAAATGAATGAGTACAATGTTCCTTTAAAATGGAGTATAGTAACAAAAAGTGCAAAAAACGAAACAAAGTCCATTCTTTTTAAAATTGTAGGCTATAGGAGCAGTTCATGAATATATTTGTACAATGTTTTACATATAGACAATATATGGTCATCAATTATTTACAGAAATCATATCACATACAAAATTGAATTCTACTTGATCAATTTAGAACAATAAATGTGTAGCAGAGTTTGCATTCATATTCTCCTGTATTTCTGAGAGCATACAGTAAAGTATTAGCCTGGGGGTTATCTCCCTGCTTGGTATGCTCATCATAAATTCATAATGGGGAGTGGAGCAGACAATGCGTGCATTCATGCACACTGCTCACCGCCTGACTCCCAGCTGTTGGTAAGAGTTTTTTTTATAGCTGTCCCTAAAAAGTTGCCTCGGCTTCCTGAAAAGCTTTCATTTTGAAGTAGTACATACAGATAGATTATACTACACCAAATGCTTATATTCAATTAGTTTTTGTGTTGAGATTGAAGATAGCAGTGCTGCTTTAACACTCCACTAGATGGAACTGTTGCACAGTTTTACAACCAATCCATTTGCAGGGTTTATTCATGAGTTGCATTGATGTATGTGTATAGACTACATGTGGAACATCATGCAGGCTTGACAACAATCTGGTCTGACAAGATCAACAGGTTTAACATCTGAGGGGCAAACTGTTACACAAGTAAAGCTATTTGTTTGTAAGTGCTTCTTTCTCAAGTGTTTTTCTTTCCCTTTATTATTCTTTCAAGATTAAAAGTTGTGAACTTGTTTTTGTTTTTTGCTATTTGGAATTTTGTGGTTATGTCAACCACTGCATGTTACCTAACCCTTTGGTCAACTTAAAGGAGAACATATACATTTGGAAACCCTAAATACATTAAATTAAGTAGGCTAGATGATCGAATATATAAGGCATATATAAGAAAAAGAAGAAGAAGAAGAGAATACCTCACATTATTGTTTAACTAAATGTCAAAGTCCAAAGAGGACTTTAACTTAAGCTAAAATTATCTTTTGTCTGGCCTTCTTAAAAAGAAACAAATATATAATAGGCTACTATATAAATCTGTATAGCTTATAGGATTCCTATTTGGGCATAGCCTACGTTACATTTGTTGCTGCTAATTTGGCTTTCTGTTATTCGGTAGATATGTTTGATTCTAGACATATGTTATCTGTCATTAAAAGTACATTTTTCTTTTATTGATTTATTTTCCTAAAGTGCGATACTGAAATTGCATTTGAGTGACATTTCGCTTCCTCCAATGTATGTTTGCACCACAGTCTATGGTTTGCAGTCATCACAACAGCAGCAAGCCGACAGAGCACATGGCAGGAAGTTAAGTGACTTAGCTTTCATAATAAAAGCATACGTATTCAGGAAACGTATCGTTGTTTGTGGCAGTCATGCAAACAATAGCGTCAAAACTATACACAGAAACATGTGTAGCGAAATGAGGGCAGACAAAAACATCTAGAATATGTTGGTCGTGGTATTGATGCGAAAATGTTATGTGTTAAACCTTAATCCGGAAGTTGTGCCTTTTATTCCGTCTGACTTGACCGAGTTAAGCAGTCGCTCTTTTTGACCATTGGCTTTGATCAGATAAGAGGTTCACGCGGACACATTCCCCTGCACTTCTGAAGCTACATTTTGAAAGATGGATTGTTCAGAAGAGGTCCAGGCTGTGTTTGAGGAGCCCACCGCTGAAATGGAGCTAAAAAAGGGAATGTCGATTTTCATTGATGTAAGTAAAACATGTTTTAATCATTATTTGCAATACAAAATGTATTGCATCTTCATAATACAGAACTATATTAGCATTTTTCTGATAACCTAACAATCTAAAGCCTATATTAGCAGAACAAATCAGGGGGAAAAACATTATTCCTTCCAGATTTTTTATTTTGATTTGTGTTGCATTTCAAGAAGCATTTTGACTTTTTAAATGTAGGCTATGTTTGAGTGATTTCAATAGTTACCTGTGGAGGTTTTTTGATCACACAAGTTAAAATGGATCCCTTTTATGCATATTGGGTGCAGAAAAATCGCTTGGTTCATATGATTAATTAATTTGATTTTACAGACCCTTAATTTAGATTCATCATGTAATGACTTCAAAGGCTGGCCATCCATTTTTATGTCAGTTTTCAAAAACCAAATACCAATTAATGAAGCATAATAGATCTTCTTGGTTTTGACCAAAGCCAGGCTGTTATTCATTTTATAAAGCCAAATCTAGCTCAAGTAAGGCAAGTCCTTATATATATTAAGAACCTACATTTTTTTAAAGGATGATAAGGATTACCAACACTTGTAGATGTCCCTCACATAATAAGAAATTCAAGATTGAAATAACATCTTATATCCATATCACGGCACTGCATTCTGCTTCTGCACCCACCACCACCACCTCGTTATATTCCTCCTCATTCCTCCACTCTCTCATTCCCTTGAGAAGCTTTGACAGTAAACCTGTTGGCTGCCTGAATGGGAATCAACAGTTATTAAAGGTTGATGGCGTATAACATCAAATGTCTTGCTGATAATGAGCAGTTACTTTATCTTCTGGCAGTGAATGAAACCACTGCTTTCCTTTAGAGGCGAGTTTCAACGTCAGATTGTTGCTTCTGTTGTTTTCTTGACATTTCCTATAGCTAGCTCAGACGGGTACATGTCATTTAAACACACACGCTGACTCCAAACAGTCGTTTCATCCTTTAAAAGATAAACTGTGTCTCCATGTGTGACCTTCTTCCTTTTTTTCATGCTCTTGTGGTGCTACATTTTCCATTTTTTTGTGATGAGTTACCAGTATGAGCTGGTATAATTAAATCCAATCAACACACAAAGCTTAATGATTTTCAACAATATAATTTGCATGAATTAAATCCAATCAGCACACAAAGCTTAATGATTTTCAACAATATAATTTGCATGAATATTACAATTAATAAAAGAAAAATCCCACATTTAAATATTTAAAAGGGGTCTTTACGATGTGTAAAGCGTAAGATACCTGTCTTTAGACCCTTGCAGCGTAGAAGGACAACCCTCCTTTCCAAACATGGAAGAAACCTCGGGAAGAGCAATTGTGGGACAAGATAAATGAAGATATGTATATGTAGATTTTTGGTTAAATTTTATATTAAGGTACACTTAGTCACCATCGACTATAGTTGTTAATTAACATAATAATAATAATAGTAATACAAGTTATTTATAAAGCACTTTTCCTGACCTTTCTTGTGGTACTGCTGCCTTATCATGCCCATATTGAGCATATTAAGCCCCAAACTCATGTAGAACAACTTCCTTACAATAAATAAGCACTAATTAGAGGGTTATTATGGAAAAACTCTTAACTGATGGCCGAGTACTGGGAGAATATGGTCATGTAGAATAAGGAATTAATAAGAGTTTTATAATGACTAATAAAGAGCCAATATGCTGCTAATATACATGTTAATTAACAACTAGTTGATGGTGAACATGTGTACCTTAATATGAAGTGTTACCATTTTTTTTCCCAGAATCAGAATTGTTTTTAGTGTTAGTTTAGTTTACACATACGAGGAATTTGCTTCGGTGCAAGTGATGCATAGAAAAAAAAAAGAATACGTCGTTTGAAAAAAGAAAGAAAAAAAAGTTACTATTAAGACAACATTCACACATATACATATGTGAAAACTGAGTACAGTAAAAGAGAGAATTACAAATAATATATTCAAAGTGGAGAGCTGTGCAGATTTAAAAAGAGGTAGTGTGGAGCTGAAATGTGCAACATGTTGTGTATTTGGTATAATCGATAATTGATAGAGATTACAGATACATGAGATGAATCAAAAGTACAGAGAAAGAGACTAATAGCAGTTTTTAATTTGGGGTCAGCAGAATAGGACACAAAGACTGATTAGAAAATAACAAATGATGTAAGTCAGAACACACTGAGATCTAGAGGAAGGGTAGATCATTTTTTCACAAATTGTACCGAAGAGCTGAAGTCCCCCAAGCTATAAATCCAAAGATGAAAGGATGGCGTTTCCAAATGTTAATCTTGCACATTATGCTGTCAGATTTATCGCATAGTGTTAATGTGTATGTGGACTTAAAGACCAATCTTCACAAGTACAAACTCGATAAGAAGCGACAGTAGGACATGCTATTTTGATGTGTTTCGAGCCTTTTAGAGCTGATGTGGTCATCGCCACTTTGCCTTTCATCTTCTCTGGACTCTGGGACAGCACTATCAATAATTTATTGACACACTGCTTTTGAGAGTGGGATCGATGATATACACACATACAGACACACCCCCATTTATTAAACACACATACACATTTATTAATTTTGATGTAAAGATTTTGTTGACGTCTCTCCTTTTCCCCTTTTCTTGTTTCAGATTTTACGGAGAGCTGATAAAAACGGTAAATATCATGCAAAAAGCTCTTAGCAGAAACACACACACACACACACACACACACACACACACACACACACACACACACACACACACACACACACACACACACACACACACACACACACACACACACACACACACACACACACTCACACTTACACACACCAACATACTCACACACACATTTCTCTGTGTTTTTTTAAGCCTTCCTTTCTCATGTGAGTGAAAAACTATTTTCTCAATGAAATTCTGATCATGATTTTCTACTAGAACTCTTTCAGTTTCCATGGAAACAGGAAACTGACCATGCCCACTAAGGTTCAGTTTGAGTGCATTCACGAAAAAAAAAAAAAAAAACGTAAACAGCCAGACAGTTTTTATCATGTCCATCAGTCACACTTAATGACTTATTTTAGCTGGAGGTCTTAATAATATACAGTTTGAACAGGGAGAACACACAGAAATAAATAGTTGATTTAGTTGTTTACTAGAGACAGCCTGAGTTTAAATCAAGGAATATCTTGTTATGGCACACAGCACAGACTTTACATTTAGATTTTCTCTTTTAGTCTGATTTGTTCAATTGTCTCAGTCTGATGGACAGGTTTGCATTTGTGTGCATTTTTTTTCCTCATCAAGGGTCAGAAAGGACAAAGGGTGTGATCTACAAATTGCTAAACTAACGACGTAAATGTGGTATTGTTTGTTGTGGGGCTATATAAATAAAATGGACTTGTCTTTGAATGATCCAAGGGGAAATTACTCACTTTGTGTTGATCTGATTTCCCACCCTCTATCAAACGTGTTCCTGTATAGAAGATGAGACCACCATTTGATTGTATGACTGACAGTTTGTGTCACCTTCACGTGTGTCGTAAAATATAACCCTGCAGACACATTCTTTCACACATCATGTAAGGCAGTGGTTCCCAAAGTGGGGGGCACAGAGGCATGACAGATAAAAAAAAAAAAAAAGAAGATCATAATTTGAAAAATTATTGATTCGAAAATAATATGATACAGTACAGTACTATTACGTCTGGGTCTCTGTGTTTCATTAAAGCTCAGCTCTGTGTGTATGTGGAACGAGCCATTTTGGTTGTGCGTGGCGCGACGAGCGAGACAGACGCACTGGTACGAGATCGTTGTTGTTAGCTTCTGCGGAGCTTAGCGAGCTGCGCTACAGCGGAATATAAGGAGTTTTTTCAACACAACAGAGAGGAGGGAGTCCTCTCCTGTCAGACTTGAGGACTCAGTGAGCTAAGGACTCTCTCAATGTTATCTCCGTGGGTTCTCAAACGTTTTGGTCACCATTTAATGTAAACATTATTTTCCGAGGGCACACCTTTATATGATCATTATAGTTATTAAAAATAAAAGAATAAATGAAAAACAGGTATGAAATACTATATGACTCAAAAAAAAAGTAAAGTTTAAAAGGTTGTTTGTAAAATATCCATAAAGAAAACGTAATTTGTTGACAGTTCTGTTTCAATGGTTGTGAGAATGTATCCATAGATCTCTTCATTTTGGTCTCAAAGTGCACCAGATTGATGCTTTTAACTTCCAATATTTAAAATAATTCTTCCCGGGGGAGCATTGCCCCCGGAGCCCCCCTATACGTGAGCGTCCACACACCACCTATAGAAAAATAGCACTGTTACCCCTGTATAATAATGGGAAACCCAAAATGTTTGAGCACCCTTATGAAACAAGTTCAAGCTACCCCACGCCACCCTAAAAATAAATCTCTGGCGCCGCCATGAGCCTGCTATTCTGTGTTGGGGGGGCCCGACTTTTTTTTTTCTCAATAGGGGGGCCTGACAGAAAAAGTTTGAGACACGATGCTAAGGTATTCACAGTTACAATGAAATTGCTGGTATCAACACAAATAAACCACATCGTGTTTTTCTCTGATCCTTTACAAATCTAGCAAGAAAAAATCCTCAGAGA